CCGCCTCCACGACCTTTCCGTCCATCCCCCCCCCCCCCGCCAGCCGTTCGTTCTCTTTCCTCAGCCCCTCCAATTCGCTCTCCACCCGTTCCAGCCGCTCCTGCAGCGCCGTCTCCTCCCCCTCCCCCTCCAAAAGCTGCCGCTCTAGTTCCTCCACCCGCCCCTGTTTCGCGGCGTTCTCCGCCTCGAGAAGCTTCACCCGCTCAAGCGCTTTCTCTTTCTCCTCTTCCCCGGAACCCTGTCGAAAGCCGTCCATAACCCGTTCTGCGGCCAAAACCCTCTCCCGGTGCTCGCGCATTTGCGCCTCGAACAGCGCCAGCTTCGCGGCCTGGTCTCCCTGCCGCGCGCCCACCGCGGCCAGCTCCGCGACCAGGCGCCCGTTCTCCCGCTCTAGTTTCCCGTTCTGAGAGCGCGCCAGCTCGAGCTCCCGCTCTAGTTCCTGCATCGTCCAACCCTCCTGCTTCTTAGTCAACGTTTGTGACGTTTGTTGCTTCACATCGACGAGCGACTCGGTTCTCCGAAGTTGTTCATCGATTCAGCCTTCAAACTAATTGACTTTCTCTCACAATTGACGCTCATATTAGCAGTCTTGCTTTCTAGTTGTCCGTCATTGCATGTCAACTGTGCACTGGCAGTGTTCGTAGATTGGTAAATAGTGGAAGCCTCCGCGGGCAAGAATGAGTCTGAAACAGCTGACTGCCGAAGTACAGGTCCGGCTACGAAACAAAACCCATGTGGGTAGCAGTTCCACAAAGATGGCCGCTTTCCTCACCCTTGCATCCCGGCTCCCCGCTCGCGCACGCTCGAGCTCTCGCTCTAGATCCTGCACTGCCCGCCGGTCGCGCCTCAAGGCCTCGTTTTCGGTCGCGAGACGCTGGGCTTCAGCGACGGCCCTTTGATGCTCTGTGGTTAGCACAGACACCTCCTCGGAAGCCCCTATGAGCGCTCGCTGGGCGTCCGCACGGTCGGTGCTTGCGGCGGAGACGCGGTCCAGCAGCGCATTCTTCTCTTCCTGAAGGGACAAAGAGGGAAAGATCGAAAGGTGAAGACAAAAGGGTACCTATGCACAGAAGTGGGGCAAAGTCTCAAAAGTCTTCGTGGTTGGTATTCTGAGACGATATTTTCCAAATGCAGTGCCCATGTGGAGGATCAATAAGCAGACACGCCTTGACCAACTTGGCGAAAGTCGATTTGGAGGCCACGTTAAGATTCCCTGAGAAGTGAAGCAGACTTGCGACAAGACAGGTTTTCTCCCACTGTCATACTTCAGCAAACCGTCCCCAACTACAGAGGTGAACGAAGAGCACTCTGGGAGGCAGCACGAGCAACGTCAGCAGCTCTGATTTGAGTAGGTTTATACCACAGGAAATGGCAACAGCGATTAGATTCAGGGGGGTTTGCAACCGGCAGTGCTTTCTCATTGTATATACCCAGCTTTTGTAGCAAAATGCACGAGGATCAGGACATCAGGATCAGAGCGTTAGAACCAGACGAGATTCCGAAGGAATGTCATATGTCTTCATAGCAGCTCATGCAATCAGTAGCCAAGCAACTTGTCTGATAGAGAGGAGGACTTCAAGTCCGAGATCTGTACGTGGAGATCAGATTCTGTAGACGTTTTTGAGTTCAAGATGAGAGTACAAACAAGTGTGTAGTTCTTAACTCGAGAAATTGGAACCATTCATTCAGTCACAGTTCACATGAAACATATTGGACACACTCGAGGTTGCCCCATCAACTGCTAGGGACTCCCGCGCTCACCTCAGCCCTGCGAACGTGCTTCTGCAGCTTTTTGGCCCGCTCGGCCGCCTCCTTGCGCACCTCGGCTACTTCTGCTTCCCGCCTCTCCCGCTCCGCCCGCAGCTCTTGCTCCAGATCCGCCCGGGTCATTTCTGGTGCGCCCAACTTTTCTTCCAGCATCAGCTTTCGTCCGCTCAAATCCTCACCCCTGGTTGGCGAACTGGTTCTACTCCTCTGCGCACGCGCAGGGCTCGGCCTCGAAGCGGACCCCTCCGGGGCCCTCGCCGCACTGAGGGGCCCTGTAGACGAGTCATGCGTTGCTTCAAGCCTCAGCTTCTCTGCCAGCGAGCGCAGCCCCGCCTCCTGCAGGGCCTCCTGTAATCTTCTCCTTGGCGCGCCAGCTGTCGCCGCGCCAGCTGTCATCGTGCTCTTTGCCGTGCTCAGGAGCGCCCCCTGGTCGCGCGCGTTGCTCGAAACGCTCAGCCCCCCGCCGGTGCTCTCCTTCACACTGCCCCATGACGAGGCTTCCTTGGGCCCCCGCACAATGATCTCTTCTGCTATCTGCTGCGCCAGGTTCCGAAAGCTCTGGTCGTTCAGGTTTAGAAAGCTGAGGGAGCGTTTCTGGACCGATTCCCCCTCCGTGCTGCGCTCACTTGCCGAGCTGTGGCGGTGCTTTCGAGGAGTGGACCGCGTGCTCTTGGATTGTGAGTCTGGGGGAAAGGGCACCATCACTGGCTGGTGGGTTAGCCCCTTAACCCTGCCCGCATTGACTCGATTGTCAGCAAGACCTAGGATCTCCCGAGTCTCATCTTCGACAAACCGCTCACCCGGAGCTGGAAACAGCCCCGTCAAGTTCTCATCCCAGGACCTGTCCTTGGAGCGGGACGACGCCCGGCTGCTACTAAAAACGGGGCTTGCGTCCGTTTTCAGGGTACTTATTGAATGCAGTTTCTGGGCGCTGTCAGGACGGGCTTTTTGGACGCTCCCCGGACGCGACCTGCCGGACGAGCTTCTGGAGGAGTGCCGCGTGTCAGCGGAGGAGGCCTCCCTGACTAGTATGGGCGGAAGCGGTGTGGTGCTGCGGGACCCCAATCTCCGATGCTCTTCACTAGCTGAGGGCGACATTGCCAGGTTGGATCAGCAGCAAGGAAATCTGAGATGAATTCCTGCAGTGAAGCAGGGCAACACCTGTCAGCAGGTCACATCTGAACTTCTCATGGAAGTGTTCTTCAGAGTTCTTACTTCGGCTTTAGCGCCTTTGAATCAGCCGGGTGTAGAAAGGTTGCTGACCAGGGAAGCAGAGCGTCTGTCTGGAGAAGGCCATGCCACCTGTTGTAGGACTGTGGTACCAAGCCACGACTTGGATTAGTCAATCACCATTTCAACTGGTCTCTGAGTAGGACTGAGATTCTGCATCAAAGGACTTCCTTGTTCAGCTTTGGCGACAGCACATGACTGTAATCTGTGAAGTGGGCCTTTCTTGCATTCACCAGCAATCCTGTCAAGAACCAATCAACAAAGCCAAGCAGTGGATTGTCCGACTGCAGATATGATATGCCTATTCAGAACCCAGTTCAATTGGCAGATTGTGGTTCTCACCTTCCGAGAATCTGATGTTGCGTCTGTTCGGCTTCAGGTGTTCGGGGACCAATCTAAAGAAGTGCAAAAGTACGACGCCCAATAGTAGTGGCCCCTTTGGTGTGTTTCCTGAGACATCTATGCACCTGGGCCGTGTTGGATTGTGCCAGTTAACATGCACTTGGCTTACTGATCAGCACCGACTCAGCAGCGCAGCAATTCAAACAAAGAAAATGATGAGCCATCATCGTAAGAAGTTGCAATTATGCTCCTTGAAACCCAGACAATTGTCTTAGATCATGCTTCGGACTCTTCCTGAGACAACAATAGGCAAGCACCCTGCTACCCTAGCTGCAGCCCGCAACCTCCACGGTTCAGGGCATTGTGCTTCGATGTTTTGTTGAACGTAGCAAAACCGCAGGCTTCCCGGATTTTCAAAACTTTCGCGCCACATCTGGATATTTGATGTTTCGAGCCCGCCGTCGAAGAAGACAGGCACCGAGACCCGCACCCATGTTTCGACGCCGGTCTGGATTGCTGTTTAATCGTAACCGCTACATATGGAGGTTTTTGACAGTTTGAATTGCTTGGACCAGCTTGGACTGGCGGGCATGCAGTCTGGGCCGGACCAACCACTTCTTGAACTTGCGCGCGGGCCTGCACTGGCAGTCTCTGCAGTGCCCTGCGCTATGCGCATGCACCCAATCACTTAGTAGTACACCTTCGACTATAGCATGCATGCCATAAAGGTTGGCTTTGAGGCATGGCCGCGACGATCGTGGCACGACTTCCTAGACTTTTATAGCTTCCATGGCTTGCCTATATTTGCATGATGTGCATGCATTTTCCGAAATTTTCTGCATCATGTACAACTAACTCGACTGGGTGTACTGCTACTGAATTATATTCTGCAACAAATGATCTGTATACAGATTGGAAGGTGCAACATTGTCAGTGCACCGTCCATGCAAAGCTTTCGGAGATAACAAGTCGAAGCAATCTAATGGTTGCTATTGTCACCAAACCTAGTGCCCCGTAGGAAGGTATATATGCATAATCTAGGAGGCGCGGTGCCCCGCGCAAGCATGATGGCCATGGTCGTGACCATACGGCCAAGTATCATTGATGCAGTGACACGGCTTGATGGCATACTAAATCGAACCATGATGCACCCTGTGCCTGAAGAAGTACTAGCTCCCATTTCGTCTGCGAATTTGATGCACCCATGTTTGCAGACCCCCCATAGATAGTAATCAACTCGACGTGGCAATAGTGGGCCCATGCAATGGCAAACTTCGTGGAACAGGCCCGTCTTGCTGTTGGCCACTTAAGATGAGGACAAGGAGGCGCCGAGCAACTTGCTCGTTGAAAGAGTGGACAATAGCTTGATAACGGCCAGGCCTCCGCGTTTATACGTTCAGACTCAAATGACGGTTTCATGGCTCATTCCAGTGTTCATACCTTTGCTCACAAGACTCCAAACACTTCTATTGCGCGGCAACCTTATGCTTCGTCAAGGTAATAGTAGTTCCCTGACAACTTCTGTTCTCGATCTTTCAAGGAGTCCATTTTATTGATTCGTGGTCGGAAGTTGGTCGGATCTCGTCGGAAGGTGATCTCAAGATTCTGCAGAAGAGTGGGGGTAAACCAGATCAGCACCAGACTTTCTCGGCAATGGTTCTCGTCAAAAAGGGTCGAAATCGTTACAAGTTTCAAACCTTGTAGTGACGACAAATCCTGGTTTACACCAGGCACAGATATCTAAACACGAGTTTACGCACTCCATGGCAAGAGAGGCACAATGAATCAAGTACGATGGGCGATCTGACAACGTGTGACAAACAAATGCCACAAGACGGGCAACAACAAGCTGTCCCAGGAGTAACAGTCGCACCAAAGACGAACAGCCTGGGCCACAATACTCAAAGGCCAGGGTGCATGACAAAAACCCCGTGATCACTTCGCGATATGATAGCAGTTCCAGGATGCCCAAGAGGTGCAAGAATTAACCTATAGGCTGCTAAACGACGCACGAAGAAAAAGAAGGACCGAAATACCGGAAAGTAAACGCAAAAACCAAATTGATGCCAGAAACTCCAGAAAGTAAATGCAAAACCAGATTGACGCCAGAAAGTCACGATACAGACAACGGAAGAAACGACCATCGGGCTCGCTTCGACTGCAACAATCAATGTCTGGAATCGTGGGTCACATCATTCACTAGAATCAGGCCTCTTGACACAGAGCATGATCGCCCCGCCGAACTGCCTTTGTTTAGAAATGTCCAGCAAGAACGGAAACGCCGTAGGAAGCTCAACCGTAGGATAAAGGTCATGCCAGTCGGAGGCAGTCTTCTTGACACAGGAAACCCCACTGCCATGTCAGCTAGAGCTTTTACTGATAGAGCAAAGCCAGATACACAAGGGTGGTGAGCTCACCCGTAGGAAGGAGTTCATGCCGGTGAGGAGGGACTGGGGCGCGCGCGCGACGCAGTCGAGGGAGGGGACTCCGTCGTAGACGATGACCTTGTCGGCCAGGTAGGTGGCCATGATGAAGTCGTGCTCCACCACGAAGGCCGTCTTCTTGGCGTGCAGAATGAACCGCTTGATCACCTGTGGAATTGAGGATGGTATTAATTTCAAATAGCTCCGGGCAAAAACGATATCCAAAATGAAGTTTTTGAGTCAATGTCACTTCACAGGCCGTCTTCTTGGCATGCAGAATTGAACCGCTTGAGTATACGCAGAAGGTGAAGATGCCGTCATATTCGTACAACCCTCTTGCGAGCAGTCCCTCAATTCCTTAAGTCAGGGCTTAGCCAGACGACAGCGTGCTGGCAGACGCAAAGTTGGCAAGAAGGTGCGCATCCCCCTTTCTTTACGAAGTCAAACCCGACCTCGAATGCAGCGACCAATCTGGTCCGTCGAAAAACCCCAGGCTCACCGACGGTGCATGTCCGGGCTTTAAAATCTGACGCGCATTGGAATCAGATGACGTGCCCTATCCAAAGTGTCTTGCTAATGACAGGATACAAGCAGAGAGCTCGGTTAATGCGAGTAGAGTCCTTGAAAGGAAGAAAGAGAGCGAGACTCAGCCGCACAGTATGAGCAGTGCGGTATACTTTGGGAGTCAGAATGTAGTATGCCCTCAGGCCACTCTCGCACAAGGATGCACAGATTGGCAGGACCCCTTGAAGATTGATATAACCCGACATTGAGATTTCTTGAGCATGCGTCGACGAGCTGAGGGGACCTTTCTCCTAGCACAACCGTTTGCCCAAAAGTACCGTTTGGTACAAGGAACCGTTTGCTTAAGGGCATCGCTTCCACCCACCTTTGCTGCCACTATCCGTTGCTCCGAGTCTAGGTACGCGCTGGGCTCGTCGATAAGGTAGATGTCGGCAGGAGTGCCCAGGCACAGCGCGATGGCCACGCGCTGCAGCTCACCGCCCGACAAGTTGATCACCTCCTGGTCCATCAGCTCGTCGATCTGCGAAAAGCGAAGTGATACGTCAATTTCAGCCCAGTCTGAAAGCCTCTTGGAAGTGCTATTGTGGGGGTGGGTACCTTCTGGATAAGCCCGTTAAATTGCAGAAAAAGGTGTGAACAGATTGAATCAGTGCAGTCCGCAAGCGTATCGGTGGTTTGAGTGGCCTTTTACACCACCAGGTTAATCACCTCCTGGTCCAGTAGCTCGTCAATCTGCAAAAAGCCATTGTGATAAGCTAAGAGAAAGGCCAGTACGTGGCAATGTCACACTTTCATGAGGATGTTCGTTTCTAACCTTGGGAGCGCGGGTCCAAAACAGGACAAAATTAGGTTGAACTCAACCCAATTTGCAAGCATACGGTATGAGGGGTTCGGAAGCTTAAATACCCCAGCACAATAATTGTCCCTAACGACATGGTTGAGAAAAAGGGAGGTAAAGAACAAATTCCGTTGCGAAGTCGCTAAGTCCCAGAATGTACTTGCACTTTGTGATTGGCTTCGGTTTCATGCTTGTCAATCCAGACATCATGCATAGATGAACATACATACTTGAATGCAGGTGTAAGATTGAGAATGGAGTTCAAGCGGATAATGGATGACCGAAGCATTACAACAGTCATCGCTGCAACAAAGTGCGAATGAGCAACGATGGCCCGTTCTGCAATACCAAAGGGCCCTCGAATGTAATAGGTTGCCTGCTGCGTCAATATAGGCGGAACAAATTACTCAAGAACTTATCAGTCCATTACGACTAGACGATTTTTAAACCGTATATCTACTTAACAAAACCATCTATAAACTTATCTTCACGGTCGTGCCCAATAACGATTGTGACACTGAACAACTTTCAACAACACCCTCTACCTTCCAGCAAGACCGCCAGGGCCCTGGTGATGCAAAGAAGACGGCCCCATAAAATTCCGCAACACACAAAAACAGGGGGCGATTCAAACATCCAACAAAAGAGGCAGTTGCACAGCGGCTCACCCGGAGGGGCTTCATGACGTCGGTGTTGAACTGCGGGTGCATGTAGGACTCGCGGATCTTCTTGTGCAGCAGCAGGCGCACCGTGTTCTGGAACTTGGGGCTGATCTTCTGCGGCTTGTATGACACGTGGAACTCCGGCACCTCCGCACGGTCGTCTTCATCCGGCTTCAGCAGGCCCGCCTGCGGGGAGCGGTTGAGCGCGGGTTTAGTCAAAACCCTTGGTGGGTCAAAGACATTGATAGGTTGATAGGTTGATAGGTTGATAGGTTGAGATAGCAGGTTAAGAACACCAGTTAGAACCTCCGCGCGCTCGTCGTCGTCCGGCTTCAGCAGGCCTGCCGCGTGAATGCGTTTGCAGCGAAAATAGGTTAGAAGTCCTTAGACGTTAGCCCACAGGGAAATCCTTCGCAGCCCCTGCCGTCAGCGATCCAGCATGGCCGCCTGCGGAAACCGCTTGCAGCGGAGAAAAGTCAACAATCATGCAATTATATGAACCACTGTGTACCCCTGTACGGTTCTTGTCGTCTAGCTTCAGCAGGCCCGCCTACAGGAACGGCAGAGCTCGGGTTAGTCAGAACCTTGCATGGATTAAGGCTGCAACCGTTAAAAGGTTAGCTGAATAACAACACCACTGAGCACCTTTTCGTACGCTTCCACAGGCCCGCCTGCCAGGAGCGGCAGAGCAGGGGTTAGTCAGAACCCTTCATGGGTTAGTGGCATTGAGAGGTCTACCCAAAATTGTAGTTCAAACAAACAATTTTTGCCGCCGTTTCTTACTTGAGTCGCAACACGGCATGGTGGAGTCTTCACGCCCTTGAAAGGCCAAAACTTAGTACAGATTTGCTGCTTTGAAAATTTGTTCAATCCCGCCAGCATGCACGATGACGTTATGATTGATATTCTGTCCAAAAGCCTGCTCGCACAAGTTTTGGTCGCACCGTCCTCACGCAGGTTCAAGCAAAATCCCGTACAACTGATACCCGGGTCTAGAAAGGTTTGCCTTCCACTGTCAGGGCATTTCGTCCCTCACCCTGCCAGCAAACAATTTCCACAATATCCTGCTCAGAACAGGGGGCGCTTCAAAGTGCGTCGATCCAAAATATGGAGAGTTCGCGCACTCACGAGCATCCGGATGAATGTGGTTTTCCCCGTCCCGTTCTCTCCCAGCATCACCACGATCGCCGAGTCCGTGAACTCGCCCTCCTCCACTTGCAGCGTAAAGCTGCCCTGCGTCTTTTTCATCGCGGGGTACTTGTACCGCGCATACGACTGCAACTCCTCCTTTGTCTCAGTTGCAGTCTCCGCCACCTGAAGGAGGAAGCTTTGAGAAGTGACAAGGCCGCGAGTGCAGAAAGAAAGAAAGTGAAGACCCAAAGAGTGAGATAGTAACAAGAAGAGCTGGATTCGAGTGGCTACCTAGACTTCTATGATTGCAATCCCCCGAGCATCTGAGATCCGTGACGAGATGACGCAATCGACTTGTGACTTGCGAAAGCTCCGAAGCTTGACGTCACGCCCATCAATATAACCAGGGGCCCACGACGTAAGATCTTACAATTAGGCACGAAGATCAGGAGCAAACTTCCAGAGAGTCGCAAATGGTACGTGCTTGCACCTCACGTCGGGGGGCTAATCCGACAAGACAGCGAAGACACACATTCTACACTCTTCGAAATGATGGAGCATGATGAAACAGACTACTCAGAGGTCCCTTCATACAGTCTGCACACCCGAGAGTAACGCGTATACAACTGAGAGCGGTGCCATATAAGTGCGTGACTCCTGGCGAGAAATTATCGGCTGCCCTAAATCCGTTCCGAAACGCCAACCGGCAAAGTTCCAAGTTGAACGGACGCGCCGCCACACCCAATACTAAACAATGGGCTTCCTGTCCTTCGTGGAGAGGAGAAAACGCACCTTGAAGGTGAGCGACTCGTCGCGGAAGCGCAGGTTCTCGGTGGGGATGAAGCCGGCGAGGAAGATATTGATGCCCTCGCGCACGGAGAAGGGCAGCGTGACCACGCCGTATGCGCCGGGCTTGCCGTACAGGCAGCAGATGAAGTCGGACAGGTAGTCCAGCACGCTCAGGTCGTGCTCCACCACGATCACGTAGCTGCAAACATGTTTAAGATTGTAGGTTTGGGTGCATTGTTGCTCTCCTTCATTTTCGCATTGTCGAATTTTGATGTGCTGCGGATTGCTGTATCCGAGTAAAGCGGACCAAAAGGCTAGCACGCTCAGGTCGTGCTCCACCGCGCTCACGTAGCTGCGGAAACAAACCACTTTCGGTATTCTTTTATTTCCTATTCGGTGTTGCCCTCCCTCCTTTTCCGCAATGTTATTGGTCTGCATGATTGCAGATCGTTGTATGTGGTAGGAGAGGAGGGAAAGGCTGGCGCGCTTTGGTCGAACTCTGCAACGTCCGTGGCCTGGAACGGAAAGAGATCCCAAAGCGTCTGATCGATCTCTGGCAAAGGACGTTTTCGTGACAATATTCGTCACGCAGTTGATCACGCTCAGTAATCTCTCCACAATCGTCGAGCTCTTCAAGGCGGCTGAGCGGTTGAATACTGACTCTAAAAGCAAGAGTCCTCTTCATTCGTCTATCCTCGTCGAAAACCACGCCGCAGCCGTAGGTGCGCGAGAAGGCAAATGGCTACGTTTTGCTATTCCACCAAAGCTGTCAGCAGTCGACGCCGTTTGCTCCGTTTCATCCCAGGCGATTTACAGTCAACCTCGCTAAGATCGGGTTTTCACAGTCCAATGATCAGACCAGGTGCTGCCGTACAGAGGTGCTGCTATACCAAGGTGCTGCTTAGGCGTGCTTCAGCGACAGCTCTTCCGCAAAGTGCAGTGAGGGAGGGACTGAGGGCGCCACCGTCTATTCCAAAAAAGTAATTATCAATCCTGACGGTCTGAGAAACTTTGTCTCGAAATAGCTATCTCGAAGGATTGCTCACAAGGAATATTGCATAGAACCAACAGTGACCTCCAATGCTGATTGCCCACTCTGCATTTGAAAACTTCGGAACGTAGACTTCTAAACAACGAAGCTCCAACAGTTCGCAACGAAAGCGCGCTGACCTTTCTGGATGTAGGAGTGACCGCACGACCTGCGCCGCTTTGAGCCGCTGCTTGACATCGAGGTAGCTGGACGGCTCGTCAAACATGTACACGTCAGCTTTTTGCGCAGCCACCACGCCGATCGCAAACCGCTGCAGCTCGCCACCCGACAGGTCCTCCACATTGCGGTCCAGCACCTGGTTCAGCTCTGCGAGGACAACCAAATGGTTTGGATTCAATAACTTGTTTGAAAACGGAAGGAACATGATCATCGTTTTCGGAAAAGGGAAGAAGGAGCTATTGTTGCAGTGGACTGCCGAGTGAATAGAGGGAAAAGCTTTGAAAGAAAATCAAAGCGGACGAGGAAAAGGCTGAGAAGTGGACAAGAGCCCTGCAGGGGTAATCTCGTGATTCCACGATTCTAAGCAAGGTTCTAACGCTCAAGTGGTGTCTCTGCACAGCATGAATATGGCACATACCAAAACCTTGCGAAGTCCGAGGATCTTATACGGACTGGCTGATTCAAAGTAACTCAATCAACAAACACACTCATGGTCGTCAGACCTTCTTGGCACATCCAAAGTCACCACAAATCAAAAACCCGGCCTTCCTCGTCATGTCGTTCTGCATCCACCGCATTGAAGGCCTCTGAACTCAAGGCCAGTTATGGCTTCTTACCCCCTCCCTGGCAAACATGTAAAGACAACCAGTGCGACTTTTAAAGTTCTGCCAATCCAATACTACACAGTGTATGTCCCACTTTTATCGCTCGCGCATCCTTCCCCTCTGTTGCTAATAGCAGCACAATCTCCTCACCTAGAACGTCCAGCAGATTCTGCTTCTCCCCCCGCTCGTCCTTCTGCGACAGCACCTCCCCCACATTGCCCTTCACTGCGCGCGGAATATGGTCCACATACTGCGGCTTGATTGTCGGCTTCAGGTTGTCTTCCAGCACCTGCCGGCGAAAACGATAGCAAGATTTGTAAGAATTCCTAATTCTTGAACCGAGATCTTCTCAGACAGAAGTTCCTGATTCTTCGGATGTCAGAACGTCTGACTCTCAGGGCGCCTCGGTAAATGCAAGGCGTTCTCACTCGGACTACAATTACTTGAAGCTACCATAGGCATTTGAATCCTTGCCTGATTCGTGTTCCTTGGAGCTGCGTCCGCTTCGTTCATACCCTTATGTCTTACAAGCTAGTAAGCTCGCCAAATTTCTGAAGATTGCGCACACTCTCTTCCGGTTTGAGAGTCGACTTCAAAGTCCGGACAAAGATGTACAAGACAACCTCTTTCGCTCCGATTGCCTGAACTCTTTGCTGCATCATCATTCGCTTCCAGAGAAAGGAAAAGTTGAATCCTGAAAGCTGGTTCCCAACTCAGACATCCCACTCCTAACACTGCGTCTCGCGATTTGAAGCGTCAACTTGAAATCGCACCTTTGTGAAGTAGTTTTGCAGCTCGCTCCCTCGGAAGTGCGTCAAGATCTCCTCCCAGTCTGGGGGGTCATCAAAGCGCCCCAGGTTCGGTTTCAGCTTCCCAGCCAGGACTTTGAGCGCCGTCGACTTCCCAATACCATTGGTCCCCACCAGACCCAGGACTTGGCCAGGCCGGGGGACCGGCAACCTGGAAACCAATTGAAACTCAGCTTCGTCGAACAATCCCATTTCTGATCTCTGACTAGGTGGCCGTCGCGAAAGCTTGGGTAGAAACTATGGTCTACCCGAGACAAAATCTTGCACAGAGAACTTCAAGACTGCAACCTCACAAATTACAGAGATCTTTCAAGCAGTTTGGTGCAATACCTGCTTGAAGATGTCAGTGCACAGGTACCCGAAGACTCAACACTAGTATCACCATGACGAAACTGATCTCTGAGGGGCAGCTAAAGGGCAGCGGCGACAGCGCATCATGGGAACCATGCTCACCTGTGCAGCTTGAAGGTGTTGGGGCCATATCTGTGCGTGGTGTCCCTCTCGAGATTCTTAGGGAGGTTGATGATCTGGATCGCCTCAAAGGGACATTTCTGCAAGTACACGATCAGGTGTGAGAAGACAGCCTGAGTCTTCGTGCACCAACTTCAACCGTGCCTAGGGGGTCTCCACAAGGACTATATCCCGGCAATTCTTTGTAACAGACAGGTTGAAGTCAAGCTTGGGTCTCCGTTAATCAGACCTCTATACCAGCAAGCGCTCTGCGGCAGACCCATCATCTCTCAAAACCAGTGCAGCCTTCGCCATGCAAGACATGGGCTACTGGATCCTAAGTGGTGACTCCTGATTTCCACTGCTGGTAGGCGTGAACGACTTTGATTTCGAGCCATTTGAATAACAGCGTAGGACAGCGCCAGCGAACTGATTGGACCACACCGCCAATTAGATTGGTTCGTTTACCTTAACACAGATACCGCAGCCGATGCACAGCTCCTCAGAGATATACGCAACCTTGGAAGCGGGCGTGACCTCAATACACAACTTTCCTGCACCAGAACGAGAGGCCATGCTGAGAATTCAATCAGATTCTTGAGCAGTAAGACTACACGTAAGCACTTCCTAACAACTACTGAGGCTTGGGCCCTAACAGAAAGCCGGGCCATAACATCAAACAACCCAGCAAAGTTGCATGCACTAGGTTTATGGCCAAAAAGTCGTTGAATGATTCGTGCGATCTTTTAATCCAATTGCGTCCCCTTCGCCTGCTGAATTATGTCAGGCTTTTCCAGAGGTGTGTGAAAGTAAAGAACTTGGAAAACTTGGGCTCAACCACAACGTCATCAACCCTTTTTGTGAGACAAAACCTTTTCCTGGACGATGCCGCCTTCGATAAGCAGCTGCAGCACATCCCTGAGCAGCCTGCCCAAACCTTTACCAAGTACCATTACCAACATCAGCCGGGAAGCTGGCGTTAATCCAGCACAAAAGGCGTTTCATCCGTTGCAACTTGTCAGGAAGCAGTGAGCTGGTCGCAGTGTTGCCTTGGCGGACATAATGGAGTTCTGAGCAAAGAGTGACTTACCAATCTTCACGACAGGGCAGCTCTTCTTGCACTCCTGCCGGCACTTCTTTGGCTTGCACCTGTCAGCGCTCACAATGGCGATACGCGTCAGCTTATCGGCCATTGCTGCCGCCGCCCCACCCGCCGGCCGCTACTGAACCAACAAGAGCAGCCTCCTCTCAGCAACGGTCAGCTCGTTCGTAGATACTACTGCTGCCAACAAGCAATGACTCAACAGAAAGGTGGCGCCAAAGATCAAACTCTACAGCGCTTTAAAAGCCCAGCTCGCTGAGTATGCGTGATGCGGTCGTACAACCTAGCCAACCCCTTTGCGCCCTTCTTAGGAGCTCTCGCACCAATCCGGCCTCCCTTTTGGTACGGCCAACAATCAAATGTTGACCCTCCAGGATCTAAGCGCCCCCCTCCTTTCCTGTCCTGCAAAACTTGCTGAACCCTGCGGAAACCGAGTGCCAGCACTTCCACAAACCTCCTCCGTCTGTGCCACTCCCTCTCTCCAATTCCTCCCTACTACTACTACCGTAGTAGGGGGTCGCCAATACCATCACAAACGGTTCTGGACGTCAGCTCGCACAGTCTGCAAAGAACCTTTCCCATCCGGGCCAGGCTAGCGCCGTCGACAGCAACGGCAGACAGTCCTACCGTTCGCGGCGACCAAAGCTTAGCTAGAAGTGGGGCCGAGAAGTGGAGCGACTGCAAGTTCAACACGAGCTGAAGTCTTCAAAATCCTGCCAGTTCAGCAATTGTTCAAAGTTCAAACGTCCTGACAAGCTGAAAGCGCCAATGGCAGCACTAGCAGCAACACTGCCAGCAAAGCCGCTTCCAGGAAGCAGCATTGCAAGCTGGCGGGGGCGTCAAGACTCTCCAGGAGGGCAGGTACAGAATACAGAATTCCCGCTAACAAAATGCAGCCACATTGGCACATGGATAGATACAGGGGTTTCACGTCGATCCGTGAGGGCTCGAAGTACGGTGCCAGCAACACGTTGCACTCCATCAGGAACTGTAAAGATGCATGCAATGCATTCGAATGCAGGTAAGCTTTCTGTTCACCTTTCTTGGACACAGATGCGGGCGCTAACTGACTGCCCAATCGAAGCAAGAACTTCAAGAAATGACATATTTCAATGAGTGGAGGCACTTACTCTGCTCACTTAGACTATCCAGATCTCAAATCTCTTCCTCGAAAGAAATCTCTTACCTGTTCCCCAAGAATGTTCTGTTAAACAAAGGATTCAGCTTCCTGACATTCATTCGTTTGAGCCCTTGTTCCATAGTGAACAACCCAAAAATGTGATGCTTGAAGAGATCAGTCCTTAGAATCACACCAATGGAACTGGCTTGAAAGCTGATAGAGTGATCAAGAGGCTCTGGAAAGAACAAAAAGAAAGCTTTTTGCAGCCAGCCCCTCTAACCAACTATCTGACGGACAAAATGTCTGCTCCAATGCTTAAGCACAGCTATCCCTGCAGGCCCTCCGTTGAAGCCTGCAGTCTTTTTACTGCCAACCAAAAGGCCCTTGGAAGGTCGCAGACAGAAAGTGAGCCTCCGGGAAGACTATATGGCTTGACCCTTTCAGTGTACGCAGTATGGAGTGTCTCATACAACCTGTCCGATCACTGTATCAGTAGAGTAGATAGCCTGCTCATTTATGGTTGTTGACTGTGTGGAGAAGGAATCTTGCTTCAAGCATGTAATCTTTCGATCTTTCACCTGTGGTGGCTGGAATGTTTGAGAAAGGAAACCACGCAAGCCTGGTCCAGGCAAAAAGTGGGTGGAAGGAAGCTGACAAGGTTGATTCTGGGTTCATGGCCAGCTTCTGCAGCTTCGAGCTAGCGCAAGCCCAACAGAAGGAGAACCGCTGACTAAAACTGGTGAGTTCTTTTCTAAGCTGACTCTGTCTCTCTGCCAGCGCAAGGACAGAATGTCTAAACTGCTTGTCAGCAAAACTTGGTTGTCTTGCTCACTAAACTTTGTATCGAAAAGCCTGCTTAGTTAGACCTTCCGGCATACTTTCCGTGTGTTCCGCAGGTGTTCGTTGATCGAAAATACGCGGTTTTCTGATATTGTTGTGTGGCTCACCGCAACCTTCCTCAGCTTACAACTGAACGGCCAGAAACCAAGCACTTCTCAGCTGCTGCCCTTGCTCCCTGCAATCAAACTCACGCTCGCACCAATGTCTCTCCCAGGATTCATAGCCGACAAGAACAACCAATCGAATGCGTATGGTTTGTTGGCCGTTATTGTGGCGGCCAGTGCAGTTGGCGCACTGGCCTTCCCTGAGCAGACCCTGGCCGTGCTTCTGAACGCGCGTGCGACGCCAGTTTCGCTCTCTGCGGTCCGAGCTGCGGGGGCCAGTCTAATCCCTGTCGCCGCCTCACATCAGTGTCTGAAAGTAAGAGCTTTTAAACCTTGAAGTCTTACTTGAGTCACATGGGCTAACGAAGGCAGGGACGACGTATGCTGGGTCGACCGTCTAGAAGTCAGCCAAGTGACGACGGTTTGTGCCGAATAGAAGCCTAAATAAGGAAGGTCGCCCTTTGTTCTTCATGGATTTAATGGTGGGCTCGCTTGTCAGAGTTGTGTCGCAGATAGAGTCAGCCTGAAAGAGGAATTCCAAAGGCAATCATCTGTGGGGGCCTTCCCAATGGACGACCTTTTCCGGTTGCTGGTGTCTTGAATCAAAGATCGAATGTGAATGCGGCTATTCTTAGAAGCGAGGCATCCCGGATACGAAGGCGGCAATACGCTCAACCCGTCTGGTGGCATCGATCTCTGCAGGACGCAGCGTCACATAACCGCCTCTCGTCCGCCACATACAAGCGGCTCAACCTGGCCGTTATCTTCTTCTGGGCGATCGTTTTGTGGATCGTGGTAGCAGCCAAGCTGCAATCGATTCTGCCGCCAACTTCCTTCGGGTGAGGATTCGGTCACCGTAGATGTACTCCCAGGGACCACAATGAACTGCGAATTCAGATCTCGCTAGATCAAGAAAGCGTATTAGGTGCCTGGTCCGTGAAATTGAAAGTGTTGTTTTCGATTCGTCAAGCGCGAGCGGCAGAAGGTGAGGCTTTCTATTGTAGAAAGTACAGAGAGCTCCTTACCTGCAGTCAAGTGTCTGTCTAAGAACAAGGGGCCGGTTGCAGTCAGCAGCACCGGAATCTCATTTAAATTGACATTTCGAGCAACGGCTTTCCGCGAATCGAGCAGGTGGGACTATCTGAATGAGGTGTTTCCTTAAACTACGCCTGCGGAGCACCTCAGACCGGTAGCCAGATTTTCTTCAAAGAAAGCAATCGTCAGTTCCTGACTCGCACTAACACTTGTCTTCGAAGTGCGCAGATTTAGAATGCTGCGCTGCAGTCATTCTTGTACGAGGCCAGGCCGAGCTTGTGAGATCGACCTTGAACAGGTCCATCCATCTGCGAACTATGGCAATATTGCCCTTCCGTTTTCTACGCCCTCATCATTCTCGAAAAAACCCAATCTCCGTTATTCGACGTCAGCCATCAACACACCAATCCGCAACAGACGCAGTTTAAACAACCAGCATATGTAAGGACTTATGTCCCAATCTCTTATCCCTTTCCATCAACTTCCGCAGAATCCTCACCGCCATCTCGATCTTCGGCACCGCCCTCCCCTGGCTCATCTCCTCTTCCAGCGGGTCCTCCTTGGTCGCCCTCTACAAGGACTTCTCCTCCTCTTACGGCACCGTTCTCAAGCCAACCGGGGCGACCAGCGCCGCCTACGGCTTCTTCTCCGCGGCTTGCTACGCACTCGGGGCGGGGCTTTTCTACTTTCCCCACCACTTCCAGCTGCGCTATCCGGCGCTGCTCGGCGCATCGACGGCGGTCCCCGACTTCTTCTGGCAAATGCTCGCGAATGTGTACTACGCTTCTAGCGTCCTGTTCTTCGTGCTCAAGGTGGGGCCGCTTTCGTTTCACTCTTTCAGAATTTCGATAGTAAAAGTACCAGTGGCGATATTTTTGGTCTTTCGCCCCACTTCTTTCGGCAGATACTCGCGAACGTGTACTACGATTCTAGCGTGCTGTTTTCGTTGTTAAGGTGAAGCCGCTTTTGTTTCGCTCTTTTAAGATCTTGTAACGAGAGCACTAGTGGCAGTAATTGTGTCGCCTATCCAGCATTCGACTTCGTCTGGCAAGTCTTTGCAAGCTTCCACACGGCCCTCTTTGCTCTCACGCCGGAAGATGCATGAGGATCGAAATTTTAATCCCAACATGACGTCGCTTGCTTCCGCCAATGCTTCCTTCAGCCTGGTGCTTGAGGGGGATGACCCTGAAAGTCTTGCTTTTCCTCTTACTTCAAAGCGCCTGTGTATGTGGAATGGACTAATATTCTCGCTTTTATGTTGAGTTACGGCTATGTTGAGTGAGGTCATGCCCGGGGGACGGGTGGGGTTACTTTGGGGGTTTAGAGTGGGTACGGGTGCGGAGCATGTTAACTTTGGGTTCAGATTCTAAGTTTGTTTGAGCCCGGGGACTTGATCAAACTCAACATAAAATCGAGACGTAAGAATGGACTCGCTCACCTGCTCGGCGGCATATACTTACGTTATCCGTTTTGCCTTGCAGGACGCATCCGAGCGGGGTCGCCTGGCCGCGAGCACGTTCAAGAACCTCAACGCCAGCTTCGCGGCTGCTTCGCTTACGATCCTACTCAACTTCGTAACCGAGTTTTTGAAACTGAACCACAGCATAGGCGATGTCGGGCTGGGCTGGTCGTTCCAAGTACTGGTTTTGGGGCTTGTGTTTGTAGTGACGTCGTACAACTACTTGACAGCCCGGAAATGACACAGTTTGTTGTTTGAATTTTTCGCTTACATGCTCCAGACCAACTCACAACATAGGCGATGTCGGGCTTGGCTGTTCCTGTTCGTTGTTACGTCCTAGCCTACAAGCAGCCAATAATTTGTGTTGATAGGATTTTGAAACCAGGACCCGCAGGCTATCTGAAGCAGCTCAAAATGCATGCGCGCACGTCTACTTATGAACTATGGCAAGAAGTTGTTCTTGACGAAGCTAAGGTCGTTGTAAGAAGGAAAACGATACATTCTAAGTTCAGTGGCACCTCCGATTCCGAGCTTCCTTTTCCGTTGTCCTGCGTGCACATGGTTGGCGTGACAACGTTTACAAATCGACATGAGGCCAGTCGGTTGCATGAGCACTTGAAAGGCATTTCAAGTTTGACAGATCATTACAACATCATGCATCATGCTTCTTGACAGCTGTCACGGCAAGATCGACTAAAGCTAGCGATCTGAGTAAACCAGACGAAAACTATATGATTGAGCTAATTGCTGCTCGATCGCATATGTGGCAATACGCGTTTAGTTCGCTCTCTAGCGAGTATCGTACAGATCCACATGGTACTACATAATTTGCCACTGGATTTCCGACGTGATCAAGCATGTATAGGCGGCTATATAGTGTCACTTCCAAGAGCTCGGATTGCATCGAGGGGGCATGCACTGCAAACTTATATATAGCCGTCTAGCATATATAAATGCCATATGCAGCTGCATATGGCATTTATATATGCCCTATACCAAGGATCAACCGGCATCGTTGTATCCGGGCGGCCATCTTCTCTAGGAATGACCATGTGTTAATTCAGACTTATGCGTACGGTAGCTTATATATCAAGATTCCACTACGTACTATGTTCTATAAACATCACGTGAATTCTATCGCTTTCTAAAAAGCTCGTCAATGTCAGGCTGCACTCACCATCGAGTAGGTAGGTCACCAGATTGGCACAAAGTCACAAAGGAATGAGACGTTGTTTTGTGGCTTAGCAAGTCGCGGAGGGATCCCCTCAGATCTACCTTGATAGCTAGATCAACCGGTGCCTAGGTCTGTCGATCGGGTGAAAGTCGATCACGCCGATCCATGCCCCGGTAGGGTGGCCGATCGACCGGTGGAAGTAGCGCGGCCCAAAGCGCTTCAGAAGTTAAGTTAAGACTGCGCCCGGTTCACAACTTACCGGGACAATATTATTGCAATTCCACCGACCAACCTTCCGCCCCATGCACTGCCTAGACTCGGCCGTGCTGCTCAATGCGCTGCAGCCTGCATGCAAGGTTATATGCGTATATATATCTGATATATCTTATATAGATAGCCTCGCATATAGTAGTCACATGGTTCGAGACAGCAACGGCGTGCGCTTTGGGCTGAGCTTCCACAAGGAGGTGGCATTTGAGTTATGTAGTACAAAAGCGTAGAATCCATGAGCTGAATGTAGACGTCGCAGGTGGGGCGCAGATTGACTGCTTCAACGTAGCCAACAGCATTGACTTTGCTTCAAGTACTGCATTTAGGATGCGCTGATTGTGAGTTTCTGTCCACCATTTCGCAATTGAACAGTCCAAATCCCTTCTCTGTAGCTGTTAGTTGCGTGCAGCAGCCAGTTCTTCGCTTGACAAAGAATACCAACAAGAAGACTGCACAAGATTGAAGTGCTTCTGCTAACACGGTTGTTCAAAAGGATGTCTTCCTACGACCAGGCTGGTGAGTACTCAACACTTGCTCTACTTCAAGACAAGGACTTGTTCAATGAATGATTAAGAAGCTTTAGCTCCCATTGCAGCATTGGAGGTCTCTGGCAGGACTTACGTGGCAGGTATGAGCCAACAGTCAGCTTCCCCATTTCATGCACTTTGAAGTCTCTGTTCAGCAAAACACAGTCTGATAGATAGATTATCAGACACATCTCTGGAAGATTATACATTCTGCTAGTCACTGCACAACGCTCATGACTTGCAAATCCTCTTCTCTGCAGATCTGAAGGACATGGAGGCTGTGCATGAACTGGTGAGACACCTTACCAATCTGCTTACTACATGCATGATGTTCACACCTTTCACAGCTTCTTCAAGTACAAAGCCATAGAATGCTCCAAACAGCATCTCCACGCAATTCATTCTTGGAAGAGCGCTCTTTGGTGTTCCATGCCACAATTGATGCTTAAAAGCCAATTATGCAGGGCAGGACAGATAGGAAGAGGCTGATATGAGGACGTGCTTTGCGCAAGACTTCTAGCCTACACCAAACAATGGACACATTTGGACAGATTTAGACACATTGCCCTTATGTCATCTTTGTCCAAGAAAAGCAAAAAGTCACGACCTGATCTGGAGGTTTTGTATAGCCCTCCCATGTCTGTTGGGGCGGCAGCTTTCAGTCAAGCATGCACTTTCACCAACCGACACTTGTCTTTTTTCTATGTCCAGGAGCCAATCAGAGTCAACGGTTGCGACATTCGGGTCACGACGTCCGGGCTAGTGCTGCCGGACGCCTTGGCTGCAATCTTCCAGCCAGTGGACAACCACATGCAGCTCCTGAGAACAGCAGTCACAGCCGAGGCCATGGAGAGATGGGGCTACGACGTCAGGAGCGTGAAGCTCGCAAACCCTTACAAGCAGTAAGTATCCAGATGAGGCTTGAATGGGCCCCGGACCATGCATATTAGCATATGGTCTACAAGGATTTTGGGGCCGTGGCATACGGCATATCGGCCAAAAACTGATTTGGCATCCGGCATATTGGCATCTGCAATATGCCAATATGTCTAAGATAGTCTAGTATAACGTGTTTTCTGGCCCTGAATGGCGTACACTTCGATTACGAATGTTCTGACATGTTCTGGCTTATCTAATCCGTTTATCAAGCTAGGTATGAGCAAACAATAGCAACTATTATTTAGACCGTATACATCATATACCAGCAGGTTTTGTGAGGTTATGTGCTTTTAAAACGGAAAAGTCGCTTTTGGATTATACTGAAAACTTACACAAAAACGCAAAAAACTTCTCGTGAATGCAAGGCGTATATTAGATGGACCAGCTCGCTTATGGTTCGCGGTTGAGTAGGCTTCCCCGAGGTCCACAAATTCGGCTGGTACCATACGGGCCAGCCAAACATTACAAGCTCACCAAACGAAGTTTCTCGCATTTTTGCTATCATAAATGGTGGAATTTGATGTTCTTGTAAGTAGTGATTGAACCTGTTACACTCAGCTGCCTCGAAACAGTAAATCGGCATGAAAATTTAGTGTCTGCCGTCGTTTTTGAGCCGCATACGGCCATTTTCAAGTCAAAAAACAAAGATTTAGCATATATGCTGATTGCATATAACATAACCCAAAAAGAGGCGCTCGGCATATGGCAGAACGGCCAAAAACTCGGCTGGCATATGGCATATTGAAGTCGAAATATGCATGGTCCGGGGCCCACTTGAACACTACAGATATAGTGCCGATAAGTAGACTGGTCACAAGCTGGTGTACAAGGTTTGCAAGGTCTTGGGAGAAGCTTCCGTGAGGCTGTCTTCAAGAGTTTCTTGCCTTTTGAGAATGGCATGGATCAAGACTGCGAGGTTCACTTGGCGGCAGGTGGTTTGACCATCGGAGGAGCAAGTTAGCACTGTTCAAAAGCTATCTGAAGGAAGGACAAAGCAGAGGGCAGATGTCAAATAGTCATGGCTGTACAGCTGGTTAGTGGTACTGACAGCTGTCATTGGTGGCATTAGTTGAGGGCATTGCCAGTCAGAGGCTGAGCGCCAACTTGCACCGTCGTTTTTCCCTTGTCGACTTCAGCAAATACAATTACGACGCATCAATCTCTTGCGAGGCCATCTCGACAACTTGTGGAGTCCTTTGGACCTATTGAGAAGCATATGAGCGAAAAGGACTTGGTTTAGGAGCACCACTTAGGAATTCTAAATCAAAAGTTGTTTGCAATCAAAGCGGCACAGCTGGCAAGTGGCAGAGACAGCTGGCGCGTGAATGGAAGGGGTTGTCTGACAGCTGTCACCTCTGTCCTAAAACTGGTCAGCAGCAGACAGATCTTTGTACAGCTGGCATCTTTTGATTTAATTCAAACTGGCATATACGGAACCCTTGCAAAGCAACCCTTGCATTCGCATCTTTTTGTGGGGAACGAGCAAGAGGAACCGTGCTTTCTTCACCCACCTTTGGGCCCAGTCTTGGATATTCTCGCCTTGAGGATGACAAACCCGCACAAACAGAGTTCTTTGTTTTGCAGCCGCAGTGCGGTACTCCGTTTTCCGCATTTTTACCATCGCAAACTAATTGTTCTTTTATAGAGAACAGGAAAGAAAGTCTTGATAGCTGCAAATGAAATGCAAGCACCTGCGGAGAAGCGAGTCCTCTAAATTTACCAGACATTTAAGCTGGAAATTTCGATTTTCTACTTATGTTGGAGTAGGCAGGTCTGTAGCTTCCACGCACTCCATCGTTTCCTAGCGCACACGCACGCAGACGAGCCTTGTGAGTGCAGAATGCGAGGAGAAAAGGCCGAAAAATGCGACAAGAGGCGCCACAACTTTCTCAAGCTCTACTGGCAAAAACTGGAGGATGAGTACAAGCGGATACGGAAGGTAAGAACTACGAGTACACTTGAACTTAACCGTGCGGTTGCGCCTGAGCACTCGTATCTGCACGCTTCTGTTAGGCGCGAGATGCGAAAGCCCCTCATGTTTGACAAACCGGTTGGATACTCGTTGGCCCCAGCTTACACAGGTTTGATCATGAAGGTCAAGGAAGCGTGTGTATCTCTTCAGGCACGAGTTTTCTGATAAATTCTTGCATGTGGCACCCGTTCAGCTCTCTCTTTGAGGTCATAGGACCGATCAATCCGACCAGACACCTTGTTCATCTACATAAAATCTTGATTGGGTCGAGAAGCTCTCGGCTGAAGGTACTCTGGAGCTAGTCGGGTCCGCTTATCCAACGGGTCCATCGTAACAATCAGATCAATCGCTGACGGCATCCTGAAACGCTTCTCACTTGATGGCCTCAAACACAGTCACTTAGACCAAGTCGCCCCACATGTTCGATTGGGCCAGAAGATTCCTCCCAAACCTTGGTGTTCTTCTCTCTTTTGTGACGCACATGGATCGGAGCATAACAGATATGTTAAGGATCGAAATATGTTTGATCATGCATACTGTATCAAAACTTCGGCATATAAATACCGATTGGTGTGGGCCGCAAGGTTCCCGTTCTTGGCTGACGTCACACCTCGTTCCTCCAAGCTCCGACTGGTGAAAACATAGTCGGGTTACATTTTCACCGCTGACGTCATTGCGGAACCCCACAGGCGGCCTTTATGAAGAGGAAGCGCTCCCGGCCCTACTATCAATGCCGCGACCAGCGCGCCATTCAGATGCCACGTGTCAATTACGGATCCCAAGGGATGGACGGTGGGGACAAGCCGGGAGACTGGGGGCGACAGTCTGGGAGCGTGAGCGGCGAAACGGCGAAAGAAGAGGACGGAAGAGAGGGAAAGGAGGGTTCTACGCGCCGGTGGGTTTCCGGAAGACGAGCGGAGCAGAACGGAAGCGGAACCGAGAATCCAAATGGGAACGGGAACGGGAATGGAAACGGCAACGGAAACGGAACCCGGATTGAGAGGGAAGCAGCGGAACGGGGGAATGGCAGGGCGGGTGTGGTGACGCCGGAGCCGGAACAAGGGGATGGGCCGCGGAACAACGGAGTGCGCAGCGATGGAAAGGCTGTAAGCTGCGAGACAAGTGCGAGTGAGGAGGAAGGTTATACGATTCCAGCAGAGTCGCTCAACTCAGAACACTTTCGGACTGGAGTCCAGGAGCTCCTTGCGAGAACAAGAGATATGAAGGCAAGGAGCGTCGCCGAGAAGGCGGGCAACGGGCACAGCGGCTGGGGCGCGGTCGAGATATTGACGGAGGCGATCGAGCGGGAGCTAAACGGAGTCGAGAGGGTACTTTCAGTGGCGGTGGAAGGAAAAGTTGGGGACGAAGAAGCGCGAGAAATCGGTCGGCACATGATGAGGGTCCAGAAGCTCAATTCCTTGGAGAGTTTCCACGAGTTGCTCGCCAGTGAGACGGAAGCCGGCGGAATGGGCGGCGATCGGATTCCGGCGAAAGCCCCGGAGGCGAAACAGCCGGACGACTACCTAGAGGGCATCGCGCAACTTTTCGCAGAGAAGGACGCAGAGGAGGCGAGCAAGTCAGCGAACGCAGGCGACAACGATGGGTCCCCAAACGATCCCGGAAACACGAGCCCCCCGGTGAAGCAGCAGTCGTTCCGCCCAGAGATTGCGGCTCCTTTCGTGGAGCGCTCTCCTAACTTTCCCACGCGCAACACCTCTGTCGCGGATGGCTCGGACACATGCCAGACCTTGGGGAAGGGCGGCCGCGCAAGCGCAACTACCGGAAAGGAGAACGCTTCGCCGATGCAAAGTCTTAGCGACAACCAGAGCGGGGAGAAAGGTTTTGGAAGCGGGAGCAACGCCGGATTTTCAGATGAAGGGGAAGGCTCTGAAGCGGAGGATGACTCCGGCCGATCAGAAAACAGGGCCGGCTACGGCCACCGGTCACGGAACGAGTCCAATGGAAAATGGGAACCTGGATTTGTCCCACTTGTAGCTGGAATCGAGCGACATGCAGTTGGAGTCATACAGCGGTATAGCAGGGCCTTTGGGAACGCCAGCATAGGTGAGGAAAATCAATGCGAGAGCGAAGCCGTCCAGGGGGGCGGAAGGGGGGCTAAGTTGTACCCTGCGCCCGGGGAAAGCCTTCCGGGGAGCGTGAGCGTGGGCCAGAAGAAGGGGCCGGGAAGCCTTCGGAGCAGCGTGGGGTCGAGTGGGGCTGTCAGCCTACAGGGGAGCCTCAGCAGAGCTGTCAATTCACAGAATCCCATCAGCAGGGAGCAGGTGATGCGGTTGGCGGACCCGCTGTTGGCCGTCTTTGTGGACCTCACCGGCGGGGTAAGTTTTACGAAGCTCGTACATCGTGAACCGTGGTTAGCTGCGTAAATGTCTCTTGGTATGGCAGCTCTGGGAGGAGCGCGTAAAGAACGTCTCAGCTTGGCTCTAAGATGAGCTTCGAATAACGCGGACGTGCAATTGCGTGGGCGTCCATTTCTGTTGCAGGGGCCGGACATACCTCGTCAATGTATCGTTTGTCAGAATGGTTGATGGCAGAATGGTAAAGAAGTCTTAATTGCGCGATTCCTGCACCGTCCAACCGTTAATCTTTAGACAGCCCAAAGCCTGAGGAGACGTTGAGCATCTGTTGCATCACTGCCGAGCAATTTAGAACGAGGGTCTTGTTTCCCTGCAGGACCGAGCAGCGGCCATGCGTATGTTTCATTGGGCGATCGAGCTTTCGTCTCTGCCGCTGCATCTGCGGTGGGTTTACATTCTGCAAATTGAAGTGCTAGGCTTCAAAGAGACCAGGAATTGTCCCGCAAATCCATTCGAGCGTACGTGTGGAAGGCAGCCCAGATAAAGTTTGCATCCGTTGTATCGGCCAGCCTTCGAGCTCTGCATCTACCTACATCCATTGATACTTGCATCGACCCTGATCCCATTCTAAACGCGCTCGACGGCAGCTGCAAACGCTGCTGCCAACGTGGCGCAAAGTAGCAACCTGACTGGTCACATCGACTGCTGACGGGGCCTTTTGACCTGCTAGTACGCATTCCTCGCTAGCAGGTCAAGAGTGTTCGGCAATCAGTGCTGAGTGACGAGGCGCACCTTCCGTGCATCGGCAGTTGACTTTGGCCGCAGAATCGATCTCAGGCAGCTGCAACAAAGCTTGCTCGTTTCCTTTGTTCGACCTCTAAAAGACCGTTTGCCACCTGTTAGGTACTGATTCTCCTTCAGACGGGCTCTCAAACTCGTAATGTATCCTCCATATACCAACCTCTTACTGAAACCAGCATGGGGTTTCCAGGTCTCAGATCATTGGGCCAGAGCATACGATCGAGGCCAACTTTGATGAGGTCTGCGGCACGCTCTGCACCGCGCTGGCGGAATCGCCGCCGGAAGCGGAACCGATGCTGATGGCGACGGTGGCGGAGGCGGCCGCGAGAGCGGAGATGCCGAACGCGTGGCGGCCGCGATTACCCCTCCTGGCCAAGTCCCTCATCGACGTGGACCAAAAACAGCGCTACAAGCGCTGCCCGGACGACCTGTTTCATCTCATGAAGAGGATCGGACAACTAGAGTGAGTCAGATTCGTGAAAGTGGGTCGACATCTTGTTTTCGGATGCACGAAGCTGCTAATCTTGCGTGCCGGTTCGCTTGCGACGACTCTCTTTTTTGGGTTCCGGGCGTTGAGGGCAAAGGCTGCCAGGACGCAAACCCACTGTCTGTAACAAGGATAAGATTTTCAACGGCTTGTCGAATGAATGCTCAGCCTTATGTGTAGGCAATTATACGTGATGTTCCTATTCCGCTTATCGAGCCAATTCTTGAATCAGTGTACCTTTACCCGCAATTGCAGCAGAACAGCATGATTTCTGCGGCTGATTGTCACCTTGGAGATGCACCTGCTCTAAATTTGAAACGTACTGTAGTATCCCATAGTCACGCAGACTCGACCTTTCCCGGAAACTTCTACGAAAAGTGGCTTGTCTACTGTTTAGCATGCCGTGACGTGCTCTTGACGGCACATGTTGCCCCTATACGGGCCAGATTGCCCTTGCGGTTGATTTAGAGTTTACTTACCTTCACGAGATCGAATCAGATATTAATCGCACCTAACATGCTACTCGCAAACCCGTGTACACCTGTGCCGCATCTGACGTTTCTTCCACCCCTGCAGGACCGACCAGCCATGCCATCCAAGGCTCGCAAAGAAGCCGCCCTTTGAGGGCCCCGGGCACTTTACGTGGGGCCAGACGATCCTTCGCTATCTGGGGATGAAGTTCGCCAACGTTCTTTGGTGCCTGTCTAGATCCCGGAGAGATGCGGACCTGGAGCCGGGCAGTTTGGACAGGACGACAGACTCCGAGTTCATCCGGGCCGCAAACGAGCTGTGCTATGACGGCGGCAATGTCAAGGTGTTCGGGTACGTGGAGCGGCTTCGGCAGCAGCCTTTTGCTTTTGCGGAAATGACTTAAGATTATTCTGGGGAGTGACTGGTGATGCTTTTGAGACTGAGATACTCTTGGGTTTGGGGAGAGACTAAATCAGTTGTGGGCAATGAGCTGAAGTGTAATCGACAGAATGGGCTCAAACAATTGGGGGCTTTTGGCTGGACTTAGAAGCAGAAAGGTGACTCTGAAGACTTGCGAAGGCGTAAGTGATGCATTATTGCTTCAAATTGGACCGACGCTACGGGGTAGACAGTGAAGCGACTTAGAATGAGAATAGAGTACGTGCTGTTTATGAATCAAGTTGAAGGAGGATTTGTTAGACGAGCAGGTCGGACGATAGTGGTTACGGTGGCCTTTGAAAAACGCAGTTGCCGCTAGCTGAGAAGGGTACAGGCTGCTGCGCCAGAGAATCATTGATTGGCTTCCTTGAGGGGGCTCGGTGTTTCAACGTGCATGCTGAGCTCATCATCCTTGAAAACCGCAACTATGCCGTGTAAGTTGATACGTAGTACTAGTTTCGGATTGCCTTGGCAGCATTCCGTTTTACGTAAGTCGGCGGCGGCCCTGAGCTACTGAGCATGGGTCGATTGAACACCTGGCGTTACAAGATCTGGACGCCTTCACTAAATCTATGTCACGTGTATCCAGATATGCGTATGAACTTGAATCCTGGCGCGCTACGTTGAAATGTGTGCCCTGCACGTGCACATGCTGCACCTAGACAAAATTGTTCTTACTCATTGAGTTGGTGACACGGCATGGAAGGTATTCCCGAGAGTCGCGGACGGACATCAACCATGTGCGTCAGGACGCTGATCGTGCATACAGACCGCATGTGATACTCTATACATGTGGGACTCAGCATGAGCCACAGTGTAAAGCAGTTCAATAAATCTCACCATAAGTTGAAGGCAGGACCAGCACGCCCTATAATTTCAATGAGGACATTACCCAGCACATGATATATATCATGCAAGGGCAAGTTTAGATGTAAGATTGAACATGCGCATGCCGTGGCGCGCTTTGCAATCGCGGTGGCACGTCATTGTCGAACCGCAACTTTCGTGTTCGTTAAGCCGCGGGCCCAATGAGTAGTTGGTCGACAGCACAGCCCGCCGCGCTGCCATAAAGCCTGATGATCTCACGCCTGTTCCTGATCATGCAGCCTGGGCCGCCTGCCATCTTTCGATTTTAACGGCCTCTGACTATGGCAGCTTTGCTGATCTCGAATATATGTGACCGAATCTACTAAAGCTAGAGCCATCAATAACGTGGACGTTGTCGGCCCGTCATGCTGAGTTGGGTCGATAAATTCACCTGCGTTCAGTGTTGGAAAGGCAAGGTGGGTCAAAAACGGAATGTGACCGGACTATAGACAAACATGATGATCCGATCCTTAATGCTCCTATGTTTCATTATAAAACCCATCTGCTAGTCCAAAACAACCTGCCAGGGTATATACCTACATATCGGATGTCACATACGTATACTTAGCTTGCACAGTAAATGATCTCGCGATTCACCACGAGTGCCCCGGTACCCCGGAAGAAAATATCAGGTTTTAATGATGCATGCAGGGCCACCCCCAGTTATAAAACATCCGTAAAGCCTACTATAAGAAGGGTACAACAACATGCCCTGAACATGTACGTGCCTTTCATGCACGTTATAAGCTAGCTTGGCCCGCACGTATACATCGGCGGCAGGGAGGCTAGCTGTTGACAAAATGCCACGACTCGGACGATCAATATGAGCAAGACCCGGCTTTGACCGGACTCAGGCTCATATGGCCTCCATCGCTCATGGTTGGGCCTCGCGGACATCATACCGATAGAATCAATGGCAGCTAGCCGGGCATGATGGTTCGGTGGGCCATCCTTGTCGCGTCACTTCATGTGCTGGCAGGTTGGCCCGCTCATTTCAGGCTCGTGATAAATTGGACTTGGAGCATCACACGCAATACTGGCCCCGGATCCGCATGAATGATCATGCAACTTTCCAACAGTAAGCAGTGCTTACATACTCTCTGATTGGAGAGTCACAATGTTGCAGATGATTACTGCACGGGAGTACATCTAGCTTGTTGCGGTGCTGCCATTTACGCGTTCTCTTTTCTATGTCTATTTCAATGGGCAATTGTCGAGACCAGCATAGCAAAGACGGCCGCAATCTGCAACATCAGAATCTTCATTGACTGTTGGTAACTATATCGAACAGGATTCAGCTGTTGCCCCTGCTTTTTGACTTTGAGGAGTCACCAATCGTCTCCGTTTATCCGCCAACCTTTTAATATTTGATCTCGTCGTTAGTCCAACACCGCGCTTGCATGATGTCATATACAAACGGGCTAATGCCCCAGCCTGACGCCCTACGAACAACATACGAGATACACAAAACTCACGGTTATGAACTCATGACCCGTAGCCTAGGGGCTTCTCTGCCGGCAAGCTCGTAACTCAATCGCTATCTCCTTCAAGCCCAGGTTGGTTCCATATCGGAATCCTCGAACTTCTGCATCCGAAGAAAGTCCACGTAGTCCGAGAACACGCCGTGGTTGGCCGTGTCCTCCAGCCGCACAACCGCCGCGTGCAGCGTGGGGCTCTGCCTCCGGCTCAGGCTGCTCTGCACCTCAGGCTTCACGTCGGCCGGCTTCAGTTTGAAGTACAGCCGGTACATGAACGACGGGAGCCGTCTTCCCTCCAGCAGGTTTCGCGCCCACGTCTCGCCCCAAGTAAAGTATTCCGACAAGTAGAACGGCTCGGCCTTCAGCAACAGCTCGAGGTAACGGTGGTGCGCGCTGCGTGAAACAGTGATGAGGCGATCAGATCTTGGTGAGCCCTGCGGCGAAGGGCACTAACGTCCAGCGGCCGAAAAGTAATCTGTGGAATAGGCTTTTATGTGACGGCATCGCGAATGAGAGTCGACCGAATGTTTTAGTTTTACAAAGCGAGCGTTGGCGAGTGCTTTTGCACCGGGCGAGAGTCAACCAAAGTCCACGTTTAACAGCCGCCGCACAGGACCACGTGGCATCGCGGCGACCAAAGAGACTAATTCCAGTGTGTTTGGTCGCCGAAGCCACGTGGGCGCACATCCTTTTTCAACGTCTCAGGAAAGTCTTCGTGGAACAAAACGAGTTCTAGCAGACATGGGAAATTACACTCGCTTCCAGACAACCAGAGTACGTTTGCGCACCGCAGCCCATCCGCCACCGCTGATAGAATGAGGAGCAGCAAAAAGCAGACGACACACGGCAAGCAATCTGACAGTGCATCTTTTGAAACTACAACAATCTATCTTCAAAGGGTTCCAACTAGACTGGAGGGTTGGACTAGACTTGAGCTCAGTGCTATCCAGTTCTTCGACAGTGCACACGAGCATGGCACCCATACTTGGAAAAAGACCAGGAAGCCGCAATGCAGACTAAGCAGTTCGCAATCCAGCGGGTGGATAGAAGAAACAGTGCAACCAACTCACTGCAGGTGGCGCACGTTGCGGGAGCCGTGGAACAGGGTGTCGGGGCATCTGACGTACTGCCCCTTCGAGTTCCGGTCGAAGCACGACTTGGCCGTGTCGGAGAAGTCCCGGCGCCAGTCGTTCGGCATGAACGACTCCTTGGCCGCCTCCGCCACCAACCGCAGCAGCCTCTTCTTGGCCGTCGGCTCCGACTCCGCGAGCAACATGCATATGTCGTTGCACACGGTGTTGAATGTGTCGCCGCACTCCTTGACGGTGTAGAGACGGGGGCCGAGGAACTCGCGGGACCTGGAGACGAATCGGGTCGCAAAGCTGGTTAGCCAAACCCTGACTAGATTTGGTTAGTGACTAGGCACAGGATGTTGTAGTTTAGAAAAGCAGCAGCTGATCAGTAACCTCCGGTGATCGGAGCAAGCAAGGTGGAGCTAGAGGCGGAAAGCTTGGTACAGAAAGTGGTTAGGAAACCAGAAAACAGAACCGGATTGTAGCATTACTAGAAGGCGATTCTGCTTACAGAACGGACCGGAACAGAATTGTGCGGAGCTCCTGCACTGTTTCGCTTTATGGAAGCGCGCGTCTTCATTGGAAACCTTTGCCTAGTTTGCGAAAGACCTCTGGAGAGGAGGGCTTCGCTTTATCAGTCGTCGATGTTCGGCGAGCTCGAGGTTTGCCTGCTTGAAATCGAGTGCTATGAGCGGTGACACCTGTCGAGAAGATAGTGGCCGCCACGTGGCGGCTGCAGAGAACACGCCACGTGGCACCAGCCGGAAGGGCGTAGTGTGACATCATCTCTTAGTAACGAAAGGTTTGGTTTGAAACGGGCAACATGAGAGCACTACAAGTACGTTCCCTGAAAGGCCCCGGAGAAATTTTGAGAAACGTTTTGAAAACTCAGGCCAGTGACGTCTTGACCAGAAGACCGATATTCCAAGAACTCAGCGCCAGCTCCACGCAGATGAAAGTTGGCTCGGAGACGGCATCCCATTACTTCATTTCTGAAGATCCACCAAGCAACTGAGTTGAGGAGCTTCGACTCAGCCAGCCTATGCATTTCAAGGTTCTGAAACTTGATAAGACAATCCATAGAACTTCTCCGACTCGCTCTTGCAAAGAAATCGCAGACTCGAAAGAACGTGAATCAGTCAGTGCGGCACCTCCTTTGATTCAGCCTTCTAATTCATCAGAAAGACCAAAATACATATCCCAACGCCTTTTGCGACTAAAGTTTGTGCCAAGACTAAAGGGTACTCACCACGGGTCTAGCGGCACGCGCAGTCCCTCGTGAAACTCCCGCCCCAACTGCTCCGTCTTCTCCTTGTCCTGCAAGGGTGCACAGAGCCAGTAAAGAGATTTGGCAACGAACAATATGCCTAAGATGGAGCCGGGTTGCTGAACTAGCTTAAACCTGACACCCTGGACCTTTACAATTCTCTTTTTGGAAAGCTCGAAATGGAAACAATTATTCCAAAACTTCGTCGGCAGCTCTCGTTCCGTTTCGGAGAGGGCGGCAGCTCTTCTTCGGATATCAGGGCTTACTCGCGCTGCGTGCAAACTTCAGTGAATGTCACCGATAAAAGTTCGGTAAACCCCTCCGAAAAGGAAGTTTTGCAGAAAAGAGAGTTCGTTGCATCTGCAGAACGCTAAGCTAGATGGGCGGTCGTTCGTGTTTTACAAGCGCACCAAGACTGCGGTCGTGACCTCAGCGACCGGAACTTCGGTTCTGAATGAGCAACCATGAGTTGTGCGTAAACCAGGCAGTCACCAATCCATCATCGGTCTCAATCGACAACGATTACGTCATCAGTTGGCTAAGAGAGAAGGCCAATCAAATCACCATAGAAACTACAGACCCTGTCAGCTCATTTCCTTCCTCTGCGGGCGCTCCCGCACAGCCGTAATGCAGATTTGCCCTTCCGCCTCTATACTGGATCAAACAGAACACCGAAAGCGAAGCTTGGAACGGGTCCGCAAAACTCACACCCGCCGCATAGAAGTATCCGTGGGCTCCCTCGCTCCGCGCCCACAGCTTCGACTGCTCCCAGGTCGGCGGCGTCATGGGGCTGAGCAGCCCACTCGACCCGGTCGCCCCGCTCCCTGGCTGGCCGCTCCCCGGTGCTGCCTCCAAAAGGTCCCGGTCAGTGGAGGCGCTCCCCGGGGTTGGCGCAATGCGCACGGGCGGCAGTGCCATGAGCGCGCGGTCGCCGATCGCCCGGGCAGCGTCAAGCCCCGGCCGCTGTGCCTCGTTCCCCAGCGCCACGGGCAGGGCGTCCACCGCGCGGTCGTTGCTCCCCCGGGCAGCGTGATCACCCAAGCTTTTTGCCCCGGCCTTCCCTGGCGCCCGGGGTTCTAGAACGAGCGCCCGGTTTCCGTTCGCTCGCGCGGCCTCATCTCCCAATGTCCGTTCACCGGGGTTCCCTGGCTCGTTCTCGGTCTGCCCAACCCCGACCGGTATTGCCAGCCGGTTGCTCACCGTCTCGCCGGCTGCCCTCGCCTTTTCTCCTCCAATTTCCCCGGACTTAATTGTTCCCATCGCTTTCTTCCCGGCCGCTTTGGTTGCCTCTCCCGTCCCAGCCAAAGCGGCTTCCCCGGTTGCTTCCTTGCCCAGTCGGCCCCGGGGCATTTCTCCCCTCTTCAGCGGCCCGCTCTTTCCAGCCCCTCCTCCTTGCGTCTTTTTCCTCGCGCTGTCCTTCGCTCCACCTGCCGAAGCTTTCAGTGCCGGAATCTTAACGAGGGCCCGGTTCGTCAGCTTGATGCCAGTAGTTCTCTTCACCGGCTGCTTTCCTGGGGCCCCATTTCCAGCCTGCTTCGTCTTCGGCTTGACCGCAACCACCTCCCCGGGCATCGCCGAACCAGGTCCTCCTACAGCCGGCTGTTCCCCGGGAGCTCCCTTCGAGCCGGCCTTCCTCCCGGGCGCATCTTTCCCGGTCCCCGCTGCCATCTCCCCACCCGCTTCCTGGCCGCCACGTGTCAGCGTCTGCTTCGTCCTCCCGGGCATGCCTCCGGTTTTGTCCTTCACCAGCGCGGCGTCCTCAGTCTGTGACTCTCTCGTCTCCGTCGGCGCGTCGTCCGTTGCTGACGTCGCCATCCTCACCCCTTCCTTGTCTGTCATTGCTCTCGCCCTCGCCTCTCCGAGCACTTCTCCGCCCGTCCCCCCAGTCAGCTTTGCGGGCGCTTCCCTGGGGCGCTCCCCTCCGTCGCTGCCCAGCTCTTGCGCGCACTCGGTCTCTTCCCCCCCTGCGCACATGGCCGGACTGCCGCCGGCTTCTTTCCCCGCCCAAAATTCAGGCTCCGGCACACGAGCAAAGAAACTCGATGCTTTCCGCATCATCTGCTCCCATTCGCCGTTCCATTCCGCCCGTTGCTGATTCAGCGCCAGCAGTTGCCTCCAGAAGCCGGCACCAGGCTTGACCTCCGGATCCGATGCTGTTCCGCTTGGGGGGTGCGTCAAGGACTGCCTGCGGCTGCCCCTCTTCGCAGAATCAGAACCGGGGGGTCGCGGGGTGGTTTTCTGGACAAGGGGAGACGACTTGTTCGGAGACGTTCCCGCGTGGAAACCCCCCGGCGTGACCGGACCGCCGTCGCTTCCCGTCTTCCGGCCGTCACTGCCATCTTGCGCCGGGGAGGCGTTCTCTTTCCCGGCCCCCATGCTAGAGCGCCGCGACTTCCGGGGGGGTGTTGAGTTCGACATTCCGGGGAGAAACGGGGCCCCGGCGTCGGAGTTGAAGTCACGGTGTGCGAACGGGTCGGCGCTGTCCCCGCTCCACGGGTCACGATCCCCGGCGCTCTCCTCGCTGTCGCCGCTTTTCAGAGACATTTGGGGGGGGACAGTCCCTGACGGCATGCTGCCAGGGGGAGAGGGGGGGGACTGTTCGACGGCTGGGGTTAGCGAAAGCCGACTCAGCACGTCCGCTTGCGTCACGTCTGAGCCTGCCGCCGCTGCCTCTGGCGCCTGACCCCGCTCATCTTGCACGTCACCCCCCTGGCTGTTGACGTCAGCAACTGCGTCTCCCCCACTAACAGCTGCGCACCGAACGTCGCGCTCCGCCCCGCCGCCGTCTGCGTCTTCTTCGTCACCGTCTCCGGCTCCCGTCTCCTGCTCGTTGCTCGGGCTTTTGGCCTCAATATCCGTCTCCAGTACCGTGCTTGCATCGCCCTCGTCCGGCTCAGCGCCAACGTCGTTCAGACTCTGCTCCCCAGACGCATTCTCCAGGCCGTCTGCCCCCTCAAACCCTCCGTCGGACTCAGTGGGGATCTCCCCCTCCTCGAGCTCCGAGCTTCCGGAGTCCCTCCTGCCTTCCTGCCCTTCTGGTGCGCCCTTTCCCTCGTCCGCACCGCTTGCGGGGCCCCCCTGATGGCCCACACCGTCCATGAGTGCGTTCTTGCTCCCCCCGCCCATGGCGGTGCCACCCGATCCCGTCTTCTCAGCTGTCGGCGCATCTTTCTATGGCTCGTTTTGCAGCTTCACGTTGGCAGGCTCCAGTGTTGTGGTCTTGTCATCCATGCGCAGCTTCTTGGCGGGGGGCTTGTCCGTTGAGGGGTGGGTGGGCCTCGGACGCTTGGAGTCGGTGGGGGTGGCCTGTCAGAAGCAACCAGTGACGTCAGCAGGAGACATTCAGGAAGTGCGCGCTCTTTTGATCACTGATGATTTAGGCGCACACCTTGGTTGTTCAGCGATGCCCTCAGTGAACACAATCCTCAGGCCTCCAACTCTCACAATTATCAGTCACACCGCCTGACCTCACGACTCGAGACAACAATCGATTTCGAGCTCTTACGCTTCTTCCCCAACGCGCACGTGCCTAACAGCGAGCAGTGACGTCGTCATCCCTGAAAGTACGTCTTGCCTCCGCTTTTCGAACCCTTGCCCTGTGGAAATTTCGGGTGATCTGAATACTGGCACCAGAGTTGACAGACAATCACGCCCTGTACTTTCTGAACCCCATGCAAGAGTCTTCTCAGTCGAGTTTAAGCAGAGACGTCAGCTCCAGTCGTGAAATTTTCAGCCTGTAACATGCAATGGCACTCCAAAAGTCCGCCCGATTTCAAACCGAGGCTGTGAAGACAGAGGGCCTCGTTTTCGCCAGCTGACATGTCGAACTCCACGGCACCAGATAGCAAAAAGACACAAACCGTTGGCACCAACCGTTGCTAGCACATGCAATTCTACCGCTCATATCGTTGTCCCTTTCTAGCAATATCAAAACTACTCAGAAGCACTACGTCCCTGATCAATAACCAGCACACTATAAGTGACCACAGTAGCTTACTCATCAATTGTCTCATCTTACCTCAACGTTGCGACTCTGAAGCAAGTCTGAAGCTGTGCGTTCAAGAACTTAGCCCCAAGTCTAAGTGACTTTCACCCTTCCCAAGTGAAATACATGAGATGCAATGCCATTCACCGGCACTGGTTCTGACTCTTACCACGATGCGAGTGTGCTCAGCCTCCACCCAGGCCCAGTACCGGCTGAGGAAGGTCCCCCTCCTCTCGTCGGCCCTACCCTTCACCATGCACAAGCATGCGGATACACCAGTTTGCTTTGGTTGATGCACGTGCGCCAAGTAGTGGTGCACCGCTTCAATGCTGCAAATGCGCGCCGGCCTGCAGAACAATCTCAAGGTTTCTTGATATTTGTGATTGTTCAAACCCCGCTCACCTGCTCAACGTGAATGACGCAGTCAGCGGTCTGACATATGCGGTCAACGAACAAGAAGTGTATTCAGACCCTCCCTTTGCCAAGACAGGTTCTCCCAACGCCCTTTGCTGAAGACAACATCTTGACAATCCTAATCAGAGTCCCCATCCTCATTTCCAGGTCAGAGTCTTGAACGGAGGAAGGTCAAACTCTACATACTCAGCTCTGACAAGGCAAAGTCACGCCACCACGTTGCTTTAAAATGCTGCAGCTAATTGCTGCCAGCTGTCCTGGAACATTGCTTGGAGGTTCTCTAGAAGGATCTCCTCAGAAATGCACATCCCGGTCGCGCCAGCTGTCAGATTTACTTGACGGCAGTTATTGCCGCATGCCACTTTTGCCGCTCTATGCACCGTAGCTGTCTCTCTTGCACCTTCATTTCTCTCCAACTGTCAAGCTGTTGCCTCCCTGGCCAGTACCAACAGCAGATCAGAAAAGAACAGCAGGTTGAGCATGATCAGACAAAGAGAATCTTTTCGTTCCGTCTCCCTGAATCTCAGCAGCTGCCCTTAAGGTGCCAGCTGGTCATCGACCTGTGCGCCAGCTGTCAGCGTGCCTCTCCAGTCGATGCAACAACGACTTGTCAAAGGCTATCTTTATTCGTACCAGCCCTTAGGATTGACTAAGATCGCTCTCTTTCTTGAGAGCTCAGAAAAGGGAGTTTGTTTGAAGTATGTAGAGCTGCTTTGTTCTCCGACATGCATTGTACCATTGATGGCAAGAGCTTCTCAGGTCAGGTAGGTCAGGCTTCGCAAAGGTCACGCTCTCAATCAACAAAATCCTCTACTTTTAATCATGCTCCAGACATCCTAACCAGTCAGTAAGCAGGTTTGACTTTTAAGCAGCTTTCTACTCACTGATTCTTGAGTGAAGCAAGCTTGAGCCATGGAACTGTATGGCCCGCTTCCTCCAGGAATTTTGCTGCCGCTGCAGTTCTCTGCTGAAGGTAGCGAATCGGCTCGTCGGGCATCTCGAAGGTTGCGGCAACCACGTCCTTCAGGTCCAAGCCGGCCCTGGCAACCTTGATCTCCCACGAACTCACGGTGATCGTTTCCTGCACAAGCAATAAATTGTCAGGTTTTATTCAGGTTCTTTTCTTGAAGACAGCAAGTCTCTGCTTCAGCGCCATCTGTCTAGGCTATCGAAAGCAACAAATCTCTGCACCAAGGCTGCTAGTCTAAAGAGGCTGCCCCGACAAACCACGCATGCAGGCTATCTTTCAGATGCTGGGGTGACCCGCACGCCAGCTGTCATCAAGGCAACTCGTCTAGTCAGCCAAGATCCCATCACCATCTACCCCATCTGTTCAGGATGCTTTAACAATTGGATTGTGTCCAGGAAGCACTATCAAGCTATCTCGTGCCGGGACCACATAAAAGTCTTTAAGCCAAAGGCCTTTGATTCCACGTTTCTCATTTCTACGATGATGCAGTTCTTGTGTATCATTGAAGGCATCCATTGAATGGGTCCATGATTACTTACCTCGTACTCCTCTCCCAGATCCACTTCTTCCGGCCCTGTAAACAGCAAAAAGATCTGCGGTCGAAACCAGAGCATATGATACACTATGAAGTCTGTCTATCTCTTTGTGTAATTGTTCTTGTCGAAAGAACTCTTAAACATCGTCCTGCAAAAATACCCAAACAATCGCTCTCAGAGGTTCATATCGGTCCATCATCAAAGTCTCTCAGGAAATCCTCCCTTACCTGCTATCAGAGGGTTCACCACCAGCCCTGACATGCAGAATTCACGTTCCAGATGTATGGAATGCTGTGAATATCTTGATTCATTAAGCCTAAAAGTGGTCAAATCTCTCAAGAATCCTGCGTTCTCACCTTCCTCTTCCACAGCTGCCATTATCCTCACACCGTCTGCCGATCCAGCTGCGCAGCCTGCAGGAGTACTGAACTGCGACGAAGTCCTTAGTACCTGCCAGCGCTCACATCACCAGAGCGGTCTCCTGAATGCACCTATCTGTACTTTTTTGTCTTCATTAAATGTCTCAGGACGGTTCTATGAAACACCTTCTTAGCAGCTTGCGAGACGAAGCGGCCACCATTGGCACGACCATCTCCACCAGAAGTAGCCTGAACAGCGCCACAAATGGCGCAGTACGTATGGCTATAACTTGGAAAAGGGATTCTCTTGTGAAGCGCGTTTGCCATGGTGTGAACCGATCGTCTTCACAGCTACTGTTGATCAGTGTCCTGACACTCAAGACACTGTACGTATGAGTGCACGAGCGTCGAAAGGAAGTTTGACACAGTACCACGAAAGATCTAACCAGGCGAAAAGCCCCGTGCCTGAATCGCCCTTGCAGCTTGCTGCTTGCAAGACGGGAAGGATACGAATCACGGGGGACAGGGCGGAGGACGCCGGGGACGCGAGTCGGGGACGAAGACTGTGCACGGGGGAGCTGGAGTCGACCGGGCCCTCGACTGATTTGCAGAAAGTGTCCTGACCACTGGAGTCTGATGTCATCAGGAACTTGAAGGGATCATCTTTAGATCTTTAAGGAAATTGTACATATCTGCGGTCTACTGAGTACTCCCCTTTTTGGCATGCCATTTCCTTGGCGTTCTTTGCGCTCCCTGTGTGTGCGCGAGCGGTCGCGTATTATTGAAAATGGCGACAGCCGTAGAGTTGATCACAGTACGACGCCGCGATCGAGGGGGCGACCACGGGCTGAACTTCAGGCTAATTGCGTCGCTATTTTCCCTCTTAAGATTCTGCGTTTCTACCCCGCCCGAACCTTTCTACCATCCGGATTTACGGGCCGTGCCTGTCAGCTCCAGAGTCAAATAAGATATTGGCCTTGGCCGCGGCTGCCTTACCGAAAAACATCATTCGTGGCGTCTTACTTGGCTTCGAGTCCTTTCGAGCGGCTGACAGAATACTTTCTGTGAGTAAACCTGCTTCAGCAGACACTTTGTCAGCAACAGAAGCAAGATACAATACTCATAGCTTCTCAGGACTTCGAACAACCTGCCACGTGTCATCTGGCTGCAGTTGACGGACCAAACCGCCTTTAGGAACAGTCAGTATAACAGAGAAATTCTTTAACATAGGAAAAGGCACAGACATGCTATCACGAAGAGTCAAAACACATGCTGACGTGGCAGTAGGATTTTCATCAAACGCAGAATGAAAGTGCCAAACACGTTCTGTCAAATCTTTGACTGAACTGGCACTTAACCACATACGCTTGCCTGACATCGAAGATGACGGGAAGTCTGAGTTAGGACATACAGATCTGTGGAAATAGAATCTTCAGAACGATGGACTCCCATATCAAAGATACGACCAGTAATGTTTGATATACTCAGGAAGTCTTGTTCTGACAGATCTAACACAGTGTTGTTAACACTAGACAACAGTCCTGCACTGCCTAGCGTTTCCGAAAATCCTTCCTGCCCTTCTTCTGTTTCTTGCCACTATTGCTACCTTCCTGAGACTCCTCAGTACAGTCTGCCGCAATATGGCCCGGCTTCCCGCAGTTGTGGCAGAGGCGGTTCGCCATGTTGTGAGCATACTGCTCATCGTTCAGGGCAGCAGACAGCCGCGCCTTCGACGTCTTCCCGGTGCCACTCCCGGACGCCTTACGTTTGGCAGCCACCGACTTGGCGGTCTGGGCAGGTTTACGCTTCAAGCGTTCCTCAATCATTGGCCACTGCAGAGTAGCATACTGCATGAGAGCACGCAGAGCATTCCAACGAGTACCGGCGGGAGACGTTCTGCACAACTCCTTCAAATCCACTTGGAGACCAGACCGATACTTCTCGATCTTAATCTGCTCGTCTGTAATCTCAGCGGCAAGGTTAGTAACAGCTTGCTCGAAAGCAACGTTGTACTCATCCACACTTGTGAAGCCCTGCTTGAGATTATTCCAGGTGTCCCAATAAGACTGAATGGGGGTTCGCAGACCATAGGTCCACGAGTCATGACCAGTGTCCCTGAAAAACTGACGAGCATTCGGAGGATACACTCCTGGGTTTGCACGCTGATACACAGCATACTGGGAAGACCAATAAGACCTTGGCTTCCCATTCAGATACGAAGACGCCAGACGCAAATACTCAGCGTTAGGCGTGTTCCGAAGATACTCTTCGATCTGATCATTGAACCACTCCAAGATGGGCGGGTTGCTAGCCTAATTCTCCCACTTGGAAGGAGGCGAAGCCTTTACTTGCCCTGCAGCAGCTGCAACGGCCTGGGCCTGAGCAGCAGCAGCGGCCTGAGCCTGTTGCTGTGCCTGTGCAGCCGTAGCCCGAGCCTGCTGCAACTGACCCTGCCATCGCTGTCAAGTCAGCGTGATTACGATAATCACGCTTCAGCAACACAGAGATCCTGATGGCGTCACTGCCATGAGTCAGGGCTTGCGTCTCAGCCGCAATTCTGGCAGGATTTGTCTGAAGACCATTATAGTACTGGTCAAACTGGGCAGCTGTCATTGCCGCAAAGTTCGGCAAATTAGCCGCCATGGCTGAAGATTCACCTGAATCAACAGACTGACTCCTCACTTCCCGACAAACAGGAATGATGTAAACAGATTGAGAGCTACCTCCAACAATCTGACAATAGGAAGGAGGCGTATCACTCTCAGATGGCAGATCGGGAACACTGTCCCAATCCTCATAAATCGCACTCCCCTCTTCGCCAGAGACCTTCTCCTTCCCCTTGCGTGAAGGCTGAAAAACTGCGGCCTTAGGATTGAGAGCACTCGTGGAAGCCTTAGCTGTTGCTTCCTCCTCAGAGTCTTTGCCAATCGCCAACTCAGAGATCGTAAAACACAGATCCGTTATACGGTCAAGAGACGAAGCGATGCGCTCCTTCTTCGACATGGACCCAACTCCAATCTCGCAAGAGATCATAACACAACCCTCTGATACCACTGTAACGGTTGGCCAGCTACCGTACCGGAACGGTATGATTCCGAATGGTCAAAAAGGCTAATTATCTAATCGAATACGACTTCGTTTAGCGATTTATTTTATGAATCCGACCATGATTCCGCATCCGCCCTGAAAACGCTCCCGAGCACTTTTTTGCCCCGGAAAAGTCCCTATAGGGCTGACCGGTTGACATTTTTGAATTCCGCCGGCTAGCCAGCAATTATTTCTTGAATCCGAAAATTCACTTTCCGAACGAAAAAGTGGTAATGTAGCTTTCCGAGGGGCAAATAATTATTTAATTATTCGGAATCATACCGTTCCGCTACGGTATATGCAAAGAGCTGGCAGGATAACTACACACGTTCAGCGACCATGTGCGGAAACCATGGAAGCAGGCGTTCTCAAGCGATGGCGCAGCTCAGAAAATGGTCGTTCTTCTGCTCAAGACAACTTCTGTCCTCTCGTTGGACAAGTCCCTCAGAACATCCTTCAAGATTTCAGAGTCTTGTTTCTGCCTGCGTTCAGTCAATCACGAATCGTAGAGAGGCAGAATGGGCAAAGCCCATGGCTGCGTCTAGTCATCTCCATGACGTCCTTCCAGCGT